TATATATGTGTAAATATATGTGTATGTGTGTAAATATGCGTGTGTGTGTGTGTGTGTGTGTGTATCACTTGTGTGTATGTATATACAAATAAAAAGTGCTATTGGTGCCCAGAGGGAGACACCACTATTATGGGTAGTGGTCTGGGAAACCTTCATGGAAGACTTGAGTTAGGCCTTAGAGTAATGATAGAATTTGCATAGGCAGAAGAGAGGGTAGGTAGGGAGGAAGGGAGTAACACAGGACATTCTAAGTTAGCAGAGTAGTATGAGCAAAAGTAGAAGCAGAATACAGTGAAAAGGGGTGCTTTTGGGGGAGTAGAAGAATTACTAAATTTAAGAATCTACATTAATCCAAAAAGCATTTATTAAGTGCCTCATATTTACAAGGTTCTGTGTTAGGCTGTGGGGATACAGGTGAAATTGAAATCATTAGATTTAGACCTATATTACAGAGGGTGTTTAATGCCAGGCTAAAGAATTTAGACACTCTCTTTTAAATAATGAGGAACCATTGAAGGAATACAGGCAAGTGATGTAGGGAAAACATAACTTTAAGAAGGCTACATCTGGCAACAGTGTGTAGGATGTATTGGGTGGAGAGGAGACTGGCAGCAGGAAAAGCTGTTTTGTTAGCAACATTTAGGAGGCTAATGCAATAGCCTGAGAATAAGGTGATAGAATCTGCATTATGATGGCTGTGGTGGGAATGAGAAGGGAGACGTGGATGAATATTAAGGAAGAATCTTGTTGAGTTGTCCCACTGATTAGATACTAGGTGAGAATCAGAGATGATTATGATTTAAGCCATGGATAACTGAGAGAATGAAAGAAATAGGGAATTTACGAGAAAGAGCTAGTTTGGACGTGGAGAGAGAAGAAGATTTCCTATCTTTAGTTTGATGTGATGGCAAAACACCTAGTAGAAATACTCACCATCCAGTTGGAGAAAAGCTATTGTTCAAGAGAAAGATGAGAGATAAGGCTAGATTTGGGAGTCCCTGTTATGCAGCTTGTGGTTGCAGCTGTGAAAGCAGAAAATTACTGAGCTAGTATTTTAATTTGGATGATAATTAACTTTACCACAGTTGAGTAAGATCCCTGCTTCTTTTCTTCCCTGAAGAGTCTAGGTTCCTAGCTTCTGGGACAGGCCTGCATAACCTGCAGCACACCAAAGGATTTCCTCTACATACGAAGGGTGTTTTCCTCTACATTTTTCTGAAGGCTGCTGAAATCCTTTGGCATGCCTCAAGCATCCCCAGCTGGCCGCAGGTTGTGCAGGCCTGTTCTAGGAAGTTGAAAGTAGAATGTAGGGAAGTCAGTGTTGTAGTTATTCATGCCCCAGTTCTAAGGTAAAGCCCCTGAGAGAATTTAATTCAATAAACATTTTGTTAAGCACCTAATACTACAAGGTATTGTACTAGGTGCTGTGGATATAGAAATAAAAGTAATCCTTGCTCTCATGGAGCTTATTTTTCTCTGTGAAGTTTAGGAGAGAACCCCAGTGGCACCGTTCTGAAGAAAGACCTGTGTAGCCAGTCAGATTCTTCTTCCAGGATTCCTAGGCAAACCAGTTTCTGCTCTGAGTGATCAAATTCAATATTAGTTTTCATAACTCTGATTAGAGCTAAGTAGAAGTTCTATTACACTTTTGCTTTCTCTTTTTTTCTCTATCTCATATCTCTTCTTTTGCTTTCCTCTTTTCTCCCTTTATCCCTATATCATTCTTATTTTTCTGAAAGTTCTGTTGTCATTATTTAGAAGCAGCTAGATGGTACAGTAGATAGAATGCTGGACTTTTGAGTCAGGAAGACCTGAGTTCAAATTCAGCTTCAGACATTTACCAACAGTATGGCCGTGGACAAGTCACTACCATGTCTGCTTCAGTTTCCTCATCTGTAAAATGGAATAATAATAGCACCTACTTACCAGGGTTTTTGTGAACATCAAATGAGGTTATATTTGTAAAGCACTTTGCAAACCTTAAAGTGCTATTTAAATGCTAGTTTATTATTATTGTTATTATTATCTTAACATGTGTCTTTTGAAGGCTTACTCAAGTCTCTCACATCCCTAACAGATGAATCCTTTTGATTCTTCCTCAATCAAATTTATTACTAAGGGAGCTTTCCAGACCATCATATGTCTTAGAAAATTTAGACATCAGAGAATGTGTTATAACCTTGGTCATGTGTTAAATCTCCTGGATAATGAAACACTAAAAGATCCTTTTTAATGAGGTTTTTCTTTCCGATTCCTAATGCCACAATAAATATCTGTTCGTTTTCGATTGTATCTGACTTTTCATGACCCCATGGGTTTTTTTGTTTGGCAAAGATACTGGAGTAGTTTGCCATTTCCTTTTCCAGCTCATTTTACAGATGAGGAAACTGAGGCAAATAGGGCTAAGTGACTTGCCCAGGTATCCTACAGCTAGGAAGTGTCTGAGGCCAGACTCAAACTCAGATCCTGATGCCAGGCCCAGCACTCTATCCACTGAGTCATGTAGGTATCCTATGACATAGTAAATACCACCTCAGTTTAATGTGACAGTTTAGCTGAGTTAGAGGGCTAATGTATAGACTTATAATTGACTTACTGTATGGCTATAAGCAAGACTAACCTACTCTGTCTGTTGGTTTTTCCATGATTTATTTCATGGGGATTTTGTGAGAGAATGCATAATGTGAAATTCATTCAGTTCCCTAGAATGAAAGTAATGGCATTCTTTCTTGAACATTAAGTTGCTTATTTAAGGGTTATAAAAATTCTTGTTTCATTGATATTTAGGAATTTAAAAACTGGTCAACTTCTGAAAAAGATGCAGATTGGTAATTCCTACCAAGCTTCAATCTGTCACACAGCCTATTCTGATATGGTATGTATCTTTGTTAAATGTTAGTGTCTTGTTTGTATAGCAATAGGAACTTAATAAATTCATTCTCCCATTTCCTTTATTTTTACAAAGGAGGGTAAGTAAACTTATTCTGGTGTCATGAAGGTCATGAAAGAAAAAACATTTTAGAGCAAAGTAATAGGATTCTTTTTATAGATATAAATTCAGTGACTATTAGTATTTAAGAGCTAATAGCCTTAGCATGAGCCAGAAATAATGCTGAAAAGTGTTCTCTCTAACATTATCACTAGCATTCTACCTGGCTAATAAAATTATCTTATTTGCTTTTAATAAAGCTGCCATTTATGCCAGATTGGGGTGAGTGTTCTTGTGATAAGAATTTTTTAAAAAGAGTGATGAATTAGTCTCAAGCTCCTCCATATCTCCACTCTTTTTTTTTTTTTTGAAGTTCTTTGTTGTTGTTGTTGTTGTTTTCATATAGAAAAGTTCCAATATAGAAAAGAGAGAAGAAGAATGTTTTATACTTGGTGTATTAGGCCATCATTGATTTACAAGTGGCCCATCAACATGAAAAGCTCTTTGAAACCACCATCATCAGGAGTGGCAGCCCTGGCAGGTTTAGTAGCTGCAGGATGTCACCACTGCCAGACCATAGGGAGATGCGTTTCTGATACCCAGAGTTGAAATACAAACACATTTCCCATAAAAAAACCAAAACGCTCTTTGGAATTGTTGTTAGGTTTTATAGTACCATTAGTTCCGGGTTATAGTTCATCTATTTCATGGGTAAAATATGACTTTTGTTGATTGATCTGGGAACCTAGTCACTATCAATACTGTTATTTTTATGAGAAAATGCATTCTGAGTTCCAGACAGCTTACCTAAAAATAAACTTTTGAAACTGTCAGTGTGAGTTGGAGACTATGTGCGTTGAATGAACTCCAACATGTCTCTGTGTCCTGAATTTATTCACTCCCCTTTGCCAATTTTTAATGAAAAAAAAAATGGAATGTGAAAATAGCAGTAAACATGTTAGACAAAGGGATGGAGAAATGCTGGCTATGGTATAAAACTGGTGGTTGGTGTGAGTAAATACAATTGGTTGTTTTAGTGGATGGCCAAGTGGAAGGGACAGTATCCTTTTCTCATGTTGTGTTCTGGCAAGACAACTGGTGTGTCCTTGACTGAAAAATGTCAGGGAAACCCTGTGCTCAAGTATCATCTAGTCCAGATTGACAGTGGATTTATCTGTTCCTACTTGAAAAAAGCTAAATCAATGGTTAAATCTTAGATACTAGTACTTATGTTGTCATCATTAAAATTTTATGGAACTACCCAGCATCAATTTTATTTCATTGCCACCAAATTATTATTTAAAAAAAATTAAAAATTTCCTAATGGTTTCATTGACAATATCTTTTTCCTTCCAAATTAGGGGCTCCTGTTTGTTGTTTTAAGTCATCCTCATGGCAAAGAAATCGAATCAATGGGAAGTCCTGTATTTCGGCTGATTGTAATTAATCCTAAGACAGCCCTAAGTGTTGATATAAGGCCCTACTCACTTCCTCAAGGCCATACTGGAAGGCAAGTGTACAAGGGATACTATATAAAGTCTTATATTTCTTAGAACAATTCTGTCTCCAAAAGGTTGGGAGCAGGGGAAGAGGTAAGGTGACCATTAAAGCCCTACACATGAAGAAGCAATAGTAGAACAACAACAATAATAATAATAATGATATCTAACTTTATAGAGTGCTTTAAAGTTGTCAGAACACTTTACAAATATTTCATTTGATCCACAAAAATAACCCTGGAAGGTAGATGCTATTATTATTCCTATTTGACAAGTGAGGAGCTGCCAGAAGGCAAATGTTTTTTTTTTTTAAATCACTAGTCTGGTATCTGTATTATCCATTGTATTTTTTTTTAACCATGTAATTATTTATTTATTATTTACCACATCACCTAGGTGCCAAAAGGCAAGTAGTTTTTTTTTTTAATCACTAGTCTAGCTGATATCTATATTATCCATTAATTCTTATGAATAGTTCACAATAAAAGTGTTATATACACAACAGATAGAAATATGACAAGTTTGTAAATTAAACTCCTAAGATCCCTATGTTTTGATGCTATTCCCATGTGGTTTTATTGAATTTTAGAGCAGTACAGTTTGCTTTTTGTGTGTGAGCCAATTTCATCATTTGTCATTTGAGCTAATACATATCCCTTCTACTCCCTACTCTGTATATTTCCATAAAGAAAACTTAAAAAACACTACCATCATACTACCTACTTGGAAGTTGCATATATTCCTACTAAAAGCTGAATATTTGTGTTTTATTTAGCAACAATGAAATTCTCCATTTAAAGAAGTTTTGAGAAAAGGTTTTTTAGTTTATTTTGTAATAGTTTATGTAGGCAGCTTTGCTTTGGAATCATTGACCTAGGGTCTGTTTCAGTTCATGGTCTTCTGATGCAGTAGCCTGAATTGTTTTTCTATCGTTATTTTAGGAAATATTTAACTACTGGCACCATACCTTTGATAGGTATCTGACAGGATTTCCTGGGGTGCCTAGGACTTATTTGTAATATATAATTTTTTATTATTATGGTAATCAAATCCTCTCTTAAGGCTGTTGTTTTTAGAATGAAATTTCTCTTAACAACCACAGCTGAAAATTTAGCAATGCAATGCTGTCATCTTATCTTAATTAATATGGTATTAAACCCTTTTAGTTTGAAATGACAAATTTCTTTTTATAAAATTATATACATATATGTATGTTCTAGATTCCTTCTTTGTCCTATGCACTATCCTAATCAGGAAATTGAAGAAATTGTTAAGACCATAGATTTAGAGCTGAAATGGAGCTTAGAGAAAATCAAGTCCAATTCCCTTATTTGAAATCAATTAATCAGTAAGCATTTATTAAGTGCCTATACTATGTGCCAGGCACTATGCTAAGCACTAGAAATGCAAGAAGTGGCAAAAGACAGTCCCTGCCCTCAAGGAGCTTACAATCTAATGGAAGTGACTTATGCAACGTCTTGCAGATAGTAAAAAGCAGAACTGAGATTCTAACCCATATCCTTCAACTACATATTCAGCCTTTTTCTTACTTTGGCATTCTCCTTTAGAGGTCATCTAGTCCAACTAAGGCAATTTTATAGATGAAGAAACTAAAGGCCATTGAGGTGCTAATCCACTTTGCAAATTAGCAGAAGATGATGCGTGGTAACACAGATATATGGATGTGTCCAAGTGTATTGGCTAATTGTCAAAACAAATCTTTTATCAAAAATTCATTTAGAGATAAATTTAATTTGCTATGGACACTAGATCAGCATTGAGTCATACTGTGTTTTTGCCCACTTGAAAGGGAAGTATTTTTTGAATTATGTTAATGTAATATAAATGCAGAAGTTATATTTTGTTTTTTGTGCTTGGTATCAGGTTTCTGGATGGCGAGGTGAAGGATAATTTAGCAGCAGCTGTACTAACTTCTGGAACAATAGCTGTTTGGGACTTGTTTCTAGGACATTGTACCGCTCTGCTTCTGCCCAATTCTGATGGAAATTGGTCTTTTGTTAAATGGTCGGGTACAGATTCTTGTCTACTAGCTGGACAGAAAAATGGAAGTGTGTTTGTGTACAGCTACATATGAGGTTAGGCCAAGAGGAATGCAAATGGATCCATGGACGTATGTGAATGCCTTCAATACCTGTGGGATTGTAACTCAAGAGGAAAGTGATGGTCATCATTTTGAAGCAAATCAAGTATCTTTCTGCCTGATAAATTCTCCCACTCAAAAAGCTGAGGTAGTTTAATTTCAACCTTGTTTATTTTTGGTTCTGGGGTGTATGCTGACTTTGAATGTTTCATTAATACTGGGGTTTTTTATTGTATAATTTGGTTGATATTTTTCCTCAGTTCCACATTTGCACTGAAATGAACAATCTAGCTGATAACTTAAACTTGTAGTACTAATAAATTTTAGTTTTGTAACATTCTGCTTGGAAAATAATTTTTCCCTATTTACCTATTATGATAAATTTTTAAGAATTCTAGGGAAAGGGAATTTTTATATAGTCTCTGAAATCAGTGACTCTTCGAATTTGATAGTAATTTTTGGTTAGCTTATTGTATTATGGTGATCTTCAGTTAAATACCTTTTATCTCCTCTTATTCCCTGCCCCCTTCCCAAATTGAACAACCCCAAAAGAAACCCAAACCTAGGAAAATAAAACTCTTATCATAAACATGCATAGTCCAGCAATATAAATTGCCACATTGGCCATATCTCAAAATTGTGTGTCTCTGTTTCAAGTTCATCGCTTTTTTGGCAAGAGGTAAGTGGAATGTTTCATCTTCAGTCTTCTGGGCTCTTGGTTTATCATTGCATTAATAATCAGAGTTCTAAAGTCTTTCAAAATTTTTTCTGTATAATGTTGTTATATACATTTTTCTCCCAGTTCTGTTCACTTCAGGCTACATCAGTTAATAGAAATTTTCCCAATTTCCTCTAAAACTGTCTTATTTTGTTATTTCTTATGGCATAGCAATATTTCATTACTTTCATATACCATAATTTTGTTTAGCCATTCCCCAGTAGGGTGGTTTCTTTGTTTCCAATTTTTGGCTGCCACAAAAAGAGCTGCTATAAATATTTTCACACATTAGGTCCTTTTCTTCTTTCTTTCATCTCTTTGAGGTAAGGGCCTAGTTGAGTCAAAGAATATGCAGTTTAATTAGGAGATGTATTTGTCATTTTCTTCTTTTGTCATCTTTGCTAGTCTGATTAATTTTTATTTCTCTAGCCAGGGGAGATGTACATGTGGAGAGATATACAAAATATATTCAAAATAGATACAGGGTAATTTTGGGAGTATCAAGATAGTGGCCACTAGGGGGGATCCTAAAAGGCTATATTTAAAAGTGTTGAATCCTGAAAAAAACCAAGGATTAAAATGAAGGATTCTAAGAGGCAGAGATGAGGAGGGCATACGTTTCAGGCTTGGGTCAGCCAATGCAAAAGTCACAAAGGTAGGAGATAGAATTCATGGTGCAAGTGAAGATGAGTAATGTATCATAAGATTAGTCTATGCTGGACATAATAAAAATTGTAATAATGGCAAATTTATAGTTTTTATGTTATATCAATAAAACTATCAAAGTAATACTTTACAGAACTCAATTAAATAATAACAGTTCATTTGGAGAAACAAAAGATCTAGGATATCAAAGGAAATAATGAAGAGGAATAACAGTTCCAGACCTCAAACGATATTATAAAACAGTAGTCATCAAAGCCATATGGTACTGGTTAAGAAATAAAGAGGTAGATCAGCGGGACAGACTAGATAGGGAGAATCCAAATACTATGGAACTTAATATCTCAGTGTTCAATAAACCTCAAAACACGCTACTCAAGAAAGAGCTTCCTATTTGATTAAACTGTTGAGAAAACTATTGTCTAGAAGAAATTACCCTTAGACTAACACCTTATGTAGTATTCCACAATAAATTCAAAATAGATAAATGATTTTACTATTAAAGATCAAACCATTAAAAAATTAGTGGCAAAGAAGATTTTATACTTTTCACAGTTATGGGTAGGAGAGGTATTCTTAAATAAAAAAGGGATGGAGGCAATTACAAAAGTTAAAAGAGATAACTGATTACTTGAAACTGAAAAGCTTTTGCACAAAATTAATGAATCAAGTACCAAAAAAAAGCAGTGATGGGGGAAAAAAAGTCTATCAAATTTATTAAGGGTTTGCTATCTAGCATTTATAAACAATTACAACCAAAAGCTGTTCCCCAATAGAGGACATCTCAGTGACATCCTCCAGAAATTTTTGGTGTACTGTGATATGGCTAATATTTCTTGCTAAGGCCACAGAAATCTCATTGTCTTAAAGGCTATACATGTGTATACATCATATTTTTTCCCCATAAAATGACCAGAATATAATCAATAACTGTTTGCTGGCCAGTGCAACAGGATTTTTCTCAACATGAATATCAGAGTCCCTGAAACTGACATCAAGGTATGCAGTGGAGAGGAAAATTGAGTCTTGTCTTCAGAAAGTCATTGAGAAACTTGGGAGGGTGACTTGAAGGTCAGCAAAAGACAACCACAAAGATCAAGAGAGGGTTGTAAAATTGGATTTTTACCCTATTCTAACACATACTACCATTTAGTACTGATAAAGGGGAAATATAGAGGTTTGTAAAGGAAACTCAAGTGACTATTTTCCCTCTTTACACTTTACCAGAAGTTTCTGCCCCTAGAACCAAGAGAAAACAGTAAGGTTTAGTGCAAGTAGCACTTGGTTTAGAATTAAAAGTCCTGGGTTTTAATTCTGATTCTTCTCCTTATTACTTGTGTCCCTTAGGCAAGTCCCTCAGCCTCTTGGAGCCTCAGTTTCCTCATCTGTAAAATTAGGAAATTTGACTTACATTTGAAATATTTTTATGATAGGGGATGGAGGTAGCAGTTCAATTATTAGAAGGATTGTTACTTAGAAAGATGGTGGTGCCCTCAGTAATAAATGGCAGTTGGGAAGAGGGGAAGATTTGGAGGGAAAGACAATAAGTTGTATTTTGGACATGTTTAATTTGAGATGCCATTGGACATCTGGTTTGAGATATTTAAAAGGTAATTGGTGATGCAGAATTGGTGCTCAGGAAATAGAGTATCTACCTCAGAATCATCTACATAGAGATAATTGAATCTATGTGAGTTGATGAGATGACAAGTAAAAGAATATAAAGAGAAAAAAGTAGAGGTCACAGGACAGAGTGTTGGGAGAGACCCACACTTATGGGGAGGGAGGGTGACAGTGAAGAGTTGGAGATGCTGGTGTTATGAGCCCTCATGACTGGAAACATGGTGGTATCCTCGATGGTAATATGGAAGTTGGAAAGAGGTGAGAATTGGGGAGAAAAATAAGTTCAGTTTTGCACATAATTGAGTTTAAGAGGTCTACTGGACATTCAGTTTGAGATGTCTAATAGATTCTAGAGTGGAGGTCAGGGCTGTATAAATAGATCTGAGAATCATTTGCATAGAGATGTTAATTAAGTCCCCCAGAACTAATGAGATCAGCAATCCAAATACTGCAGAAAGAAAAGAGGAGGAGGGCTCAGGACAGAATCCCAGGGGTAACCGTCCATTATTGGTCATCACCTGGATGGATGTGATAGGGGAGAGAGTAGAGGAAGATGTCAGAGTGATTGATGTGAGACAAAGAGGGGATGAAGGAGAACTCACAGGAAATATCCTCAGTTTTGAGGGGTTTTTATGAGTTATGATCTACAGCTTAGAAAGTGTGTGGGGGAGGGTGTCATAGGAGGCTTGAAGAGAGCAAAGAAAATTTGCTAGAGCTGTGTCGAGTGTGATAATGAATGATTTAGAGGGGAGTACAAGGATTACCATTATGTAATGAGGGCACCGTTGAGATTAGATAACATAAATTTATAAAGTACCCAGTCAGCATGGCTTCATGATTTTCTTCAACTCTGTTTAGCAGCATAAGGATAGGAATGAAAGGAGTGGATGGTGGGAGCAACCTGAAAAGTTTAGAGTTACTTGGAATCATAGGCATTAGAGCTAGAAGAGATCTTGTAGTTAACCTTGTCTGATTCCCTTTTTTAGATGAGGAAACTTGGGGAGGTGAAGTAAGTTGCCCCGAATTACACAGCTCTTAGATGAAATGAACAAGGTTATTCTACTGGTAAGTTGGCAGAGCCAGGATTTGAACTGAGGTCTTCTGTATCCAAATTTTATGTTCTTTTTCTGTAGCTATTCTGATGAGGTTAAATTGATTAAATCTAACCTCCCATTAGCCTTCTTGGTACCGTAGTACTTTGATTTCTTCCCCCTCCTCAGTCCCCAACTGTTTTCTATTCCTTTCAGGCTTTGTTAACTAATAGCTAGATATTAACAGTTTAAAATAAAAGGTGGTGGTGAGGAGGAGGGAGAATTTGCATTATAATGGGGGATCGGAACTCTGAAAAGTCTTTATATCTAAAGCAATGACTCTCTAATGGTGAAATTTCTGGCTGGAAGCAGGTTGATAGAAAGTTTTAGTGCCACATTTATCTCCTTGTGAAGTTTCTGTTCTAATATGTAGAGGGGAGTTGTGGGGCAAGAATGTAACTTGGGGAACAGTGTCCCCACATTCTTCCAGAAGTGCAGGGCTCAAGGTATGGTATTACAAAGGGCACTTGTTAAAGGCTTCCGTGGTTCTTGGTGCAGTGCAGATTGTTAGGCTAAATTTTGTTGAGTGGAAGTTTGGTTGCTTTTATTTAGACTGAGAGGTTCTAGGGATGAGAGATGGTTTTTTTGTTTGTTTTGTTTTAGGTTGGGCACAGAGTGATTAAATAATTTAGCCATAGGCACACAAAACCAGTCAGGACTTGAATTGCCAGGTCTTCCTAACTACAAGGTGGTATGTCTCTTCTATCCGTTTAACCCCATAGCCTCTCAAGGGAGATAAGGAGTTAACATGGTTAATTCAGGAAATTGGCATAGGACTGTGAGAAGGTAAAATTCTTATGAATGTCAGACCACTGTGCTATGTGACTAGCCTTATGTTAGAAGTCATGGGAAATGCAAAGAAGCAGCAATCACTTCAAAAAGCATTTATTGACCATCCATCCTGTGCGTTTTGGAGAAACAAGATACACACACATAGGTCATTAAGAGGACACTACAAGGCGGAACCAAGATGGCGGAGTGAAAGCAGTGACTTGCTTGAGCTTTCCTCTAAACCCCTCCAAATACCTATAAAAAAAATGGCTCTAAACAAGTTCTAAGGCAGCAGAACCCACAAAAAGACAGAATGAAACAAATTTCCAGCCCAAGACAGTCTGGATGGTTGAGCGGAAAGGTATATCGTGCTGGGTGGGGAGAGGAGCACGGTTCGGCGTGGGTGCGCAGGCCGCAGCAACCGTGGAGCAGGCCTCAGAGGGCTGAGTCTCGGGCAGCTGTGGTGGTTTC